GCACCAATCAGGATCAAAAAGAGTTGGGAAAAAGAAATCTCCCTGGATCTCCAGCCAATTAAAGCAAAAAATGCGTAAGAGAGATTTTCTGAAAAAGAAAGCTAAGCAGACCGGTGATCCATTAATTTGGCAACAATATAAGCATTCACGAAATAGCACGAATAATGAAATTAAAAGTGCAATATTTTAACGTTAACCTTGTGGCTAACAAGAAAAATCCAAAATGAACCTGGAAACTTATTAACGAATTAAACTCTCGTAATGCCTCTAGCTACAAAACTATATCCAATATCAAAGTGGGTGAAGAAACCATATATACACCCAAGCAAATAGCGGAGACATTTAATTCTCACTTTGCTAGTGTGGGTGAAAATTTAGCATCCGATATACCACCCTCTACCGTAGAACCTGACGTATATGTTGTGCTTGCTGAAACCACATTTTCAATGAAATCCCTCAATGCATGTATATGCAGTTTACAAAAAATTAAAAGCAATTAACGAAAGGAAAGCAGCTGGTCTTTATAAAATACCTTGCAAACTTTTAAGAATTTCAGCTGAAATAGTTGCCCCATCGTTAACTCAAATATTTAATAAGACTATAAGTACAAGCATCTTTCCTACAGACTGGAAGCTAGCGAGAGTTACTCCAGTTTTTAAGAAAGGTAAAAAAGACGACATGGACAACTATCGACCAATATCTGTTATTTCTGTAGTAGCAAAGATTTTTGAAAAGTTTACTTTTGAGCAGTTGTATGAGTATCTGAACAACAACAATCTAATACAGTATCTGTGCCTCAATCTGGATTTCGATCATTGCACAGTACACTAACTGCCCTAATAGAAGCCACGGATAATTGGTCAATAAATATAGATAAAGGCCTTCTTAACGGAGTAATTTTTATCGATCTTAAAAAAGCATCTGATACTATTGATCACACCATTCGTTTACGGAAGTTACGAATTTATGGCATAAAAATGGTATCAAATTCTTCGAATCATACCGAAGCAACCGCAGTCAAAGATGTTGCGTCAATGGTGAGTTATATGAAACTGCTAAAATAACCTGTGGGGTACCACAAGGCAGTAACTTGGGATCTCCATTGTTCTTAATATACATAAATGATTTGCCTAATTGTCTCGACAGAGCCTCTCCAAGAATGTTTGCTGACGACACTAATATTAGCATCGCAGAAAATTCCGTCACGGAGCTTGAGCAAAAAATAAATTCCGAATTGAAAAATCTTCATCAGTGGCTACTAGCTAATAGACTGAGTCTTAACGTAGCAAAACGGAATTTATGATAATAGGATCTCGTCAAAGATTACTAGTACATGATAACGAACACGTAAGGATAGAAATCGACTGAAAGACTATTAAGAGAGTTAACGAAACGAAATCCTTAGGCTTGCAAATCGATGAGCATCTTACATGGCCACGAAATGTCGAAAAATTACCAAAAAGATTGCATGCTGTTGGAGCTCTTAAACGGATACGCCAATTTATAGATACAAACACTGCTCTGAAATTTATGGAGCATTAATTCAACCGCACTTTGATTATTGTAGCTCAGTTTTGGATGGTTTGAATATCACGTTAAATGACAAATTGCAAAAATTGCAAAATAGGGCAGCGAGGGTCATCACTAAATCTCAATATGTTGCTAGTTCCAGAGACCCTTTCAGTAAGCTGGGCTGGGATAATCTTTTAACACGTCGGAAAAAGCATAAGGCATTACTAATGTTCAAAACAATTAACGATCTAACTCTGTTCTATCTCCATGAATTGTTTGAATCTCGCAGCATAGGATATGACTTAAGAAACTCTGAACACACCTTATTTGTACCAAAACCAAGAACGAACTACGGTAAGCGAAGTTTCAGTTATAGCGGGGCAGTTTTATGGAACGAGTTACCACAAAATGTTCGAACAACATGCTCCCAAAGTCAATTCAAAAGATCAATTGACAATCTGTTCTCTATATGAGATGGACGCCCGCACGGAGTCATGTAAATCAGTATTTTAGTGTTTGAATAAGTGTATATAAATTGTCATAGAGTAATTGTAATTATATGTTAGTTAATAATTATCTTGTAAAATGTTATACTGTAGATTTCACCGTGTTTAAATAAAGTTTTTTTATTCATTTTTTGATTGATTGATATCATTTTATTGCAAACTCAAAGTTTATCGATAAAGCCATTTTATTAAAGGCAGTTCAGTTCCCAGTTTATATTACGTATAAAATCATACCTAACATACGTATATGTTGGGAAATTGATAATTTTGTAATTAAAAGTGATATTTTTAGGCGATTTTTCATTTGTAAGAGTATTATTAAAAAAATGTCGTGTTACCATGACAACGACTTTAGATACTTCATGTTCGGAAAATACAATGGTTTTGTCCGCAAGGCGAGGGTTTCTGCATGCATGTATTTCTAGTATTTAAAAGAATATATTTACGTTATTTTAAATCCGTAGGCATATTACGACTTTGGTCAAGCGTGGAAAGGGCAGAATGTGTTTAGCAACAATTTGGGTTGAGTTTCGAATTAGAGATGGGAATGTGGATAAAATAAAATTGTTTTCTACTCATGTGTATAAATATGCGAAAGTAAAAAAAAGTGGGAAAATATTAAAAAAACACTCATGTTGCGAAAATTACGCAATGCGACCAGCATGCAATTGTATCTTAACAACCTGTGCAAATATATAAGAGGAATAACAAGTTAATGCAATTCTTCGTCAGTGTCCTTGATCTCGAAACAAGTAATTCAGTCCTACAATACTGCATTTGTACCATACACACAATATAATAGAATATATGTCAACAAGATATGTTTGCAACAGGCTTGTAGCAAGCTTGTGAACACAGTTGTAACAGTGCTATTATTTTATCAAGTTGCTACAAAGTTGTCACTCACAACTTGTTGACAAATTGTCAAATTGCAGGACGATAACAAGTTGTTGGAACAACTTGTAACAAGTCTGTTTAATTCAACAACCTTGTAGCAAGTTGCCAACAAGCCGTTGACAACTTGTCAACAAGCTGAGAACGGCAAGTGCGAACACATCCTGTTGACAAGTTGTTGGAACATCATTGCTACCAGTCTGTAGCAGTTTTGTTACAACTTGTGCGTTTTTGAATCTACGAAGTAGATTATATGCTATCGACTTGTTAGCTGTTCACTGTTCACTGTTCACTGTTAACTTAGCCAATCAGCGACCAGTACGTGTTACCAAAAATTACGTAATTACAAATCACGGCTTGGTCGCAAGACAATCCATTATGGCGGTAAAGAGGGGTTATAATTTGTGATTTATATTTATTCACGCATTGAAATATGACGACTTGTGGTGAAAATGGAGCGAATCAAGAACTACGTGTCTGTGTTTTGTAGCATCATGATTGCTGTACATTTTTCAGAAATTTACGAAATAGTACGTATTGGTTTTTGCGTCTACCATGACGCGATGTATTTATACGTGATTCTTGTTCACGTTTAACCCTCATGAAAACCAGCCGTATAGCTGATGAGGATAGCGTCTCTAAAGAAATTAAATACATACATACATATCGGCTTATCTTGTCTCTGTTTCAACATATCATTTACAAACAATTGAAAATACTTTATTAGTCAATTGTGTATTGATGTGTTTCAGACTATCTTGTTTCACGGCATGAGCATTGGCCTTATAGTGGTTGTGGTGGGCCGGGCAGGAGTCTCTATTATTATGGTGTGTACGAATTCGTCACGCAAAAAACGCGTTCGGATTGTGCACGCATAAGACACAGTTTCTGTGGGTTTTTAATACCATGTCTAAATTTGTAATTGTTTTTAAAGTTTTATATCTTTAGTTACTTTTAACCTGAAGATGGAGTTATACTCCGAAACGTAGTTATTAAAATAATCTTTTTGTACTAAGCCTATATGGTCTAATTATTCAAACACACAATTATTAAAATGAGGCTTAGAGAAAGTTCTGTCATACAAGATTTGAAGATACCATGGAGTTGTTTATAATAAGTGTTCAACTAAATATCGTCCTGCAATTAGAATTGTGAATATTTTAATCTGGAATAACTGTTTTAGCGCAAATTACTGGTATGCAAGCATATATTATTTTCTGATTATATTCTAGACTAGCTTGTGCTTGTCGGCCATTCACTTTTTTAAAATTGTCAATTGACTACTGGGTAGGGTGGGGCAACGATTTATTGCTATTCGTAGATTCAAGTACGAGTATCGCCATTTTGATGTCAGCATTTTTACCCGTAATTTCTACCCGTTTCCCCGCGGTAAACCAAGGTCTACACGTAAATGACAAACAGGTACGGGTGTTTTCTGTTTACTATATGTGGGCCGTTTAAATAGTAAAAATTTTCAACATCTTACCCAAATAAATAATGCACATATGCTCGTCAAAGTTTTCAACAATTTATGGCGAACGTCAACAGCGAAAGCTACCAATCTCTGATCGGTTTTCCCACGCCGGAATATCTTGGATTTCTTAAGTTACAAGTCGTTCCCAGATTTACGGGTACGGGTACGTGTATATCACCCGTACCCGTAAACCGGAACCGGGGTATCGTAACCACTCTTATGTTTACCATTTTCACGATCCGTATACGTTCGACAGTTTTGGACAACCATCGAAGAGGAAACAGCGGCTTGCAATGGATTGTGTGAAAGCAATGTTTGGGGACTATAGTTGCTTGAATGCGAGGAGTTGCTTCATGCATATATTTCTAATCATATAAACTATAATTACGCTCAGATACAGCAGCTTTGTTTTTATGCTTTTTTGTAAAATAAAACACGGAAAATTGCATTACATAATCAACAATTTTGAAAATGTATACTATGTTTAGGCTTACGATTGTTTTGTATTTAGTTAAGATTAGATAACGTGCAAACTTATTCTGGAAACTAGGATATATATATTCTTATGCGGTTGGTAAAATTGCCAACGCATTGCTTATGATAGAGACAGTGCATGGTGGTCCTATTGTTGATATGTTCCTATGGTATTCCCATGGTTGCTGGTGGTCCCGTGGTTGGTGGTGCTTCATTCTCAGGTCGTGAGCGGACATAAACTGATACGTCTGCTTCTAACCTGGAGGCTACGTTGGTGTAATATCCCTGATAGCTGCCTACGAAGTCAGGAACATGTAGTCCTATCCCCAAAGCAAATATCGCAGCAGGGCAACCTAAATAAGAGATAACGATAACAATAAAAATCAGTAAACAGAGGCCACGAAGTGTACTTCTTATTTCTATTCGAAATATTTAGTCAAAATTCCTTTTTTTCCGCATGTGCTTTGTACTGTTACAGCACACAAGGAGGAAGGCAGTAACTATGTGATTTTTAAATTACAAAAAGAATCTTAAAAGATCCTACTAACTATCATTGTTAGTTACGTCCTGAACGATGTTCATTATAATAATAATAATTATAATTGCATATATGGTATGCTACCACTGCAGGACCTTTGTCCGCTTAATAATAATATTCTTATAGCTTTTCAAATTCTTCAACGCCTTTATTTCCTCAACAGAAAGATTACTGTAGTTTCTCCCTCCCGTATTAATAGCAGAAACTTTTTCTTCCAATTTGGAGCAATACACTTCTATAGCCGGATCTATACTTCATTCGTTTAGTTTGGGACCAGCACCGTAGCTAGACGCGATAATTGGGGGGCGGGGTGTATATTCATATATATGAATATGTGAATATACACCCCCCCCCCCCATATATTCATATATTCGTGTTCATGTATATTCATATATTCGTGTTCTGCCCGACGGATTTCTTTTGAAAGCGATTATTTTTACGGTATGTTAACATACCGTAAAAACAATCAATTTCAAATGAAATCTGTCGGGCAGAACACGGTTATATGAATATACACCCCCGCCCCTATTATCGGTCAAGCTACGGCCCTGTTTGGGACAGAAAAGATTACCGTATTGCGGCATATAGGCACCTTAACAATTTATAGTGGTAATTGAACTGAGTGGAGGGCAATTTGGATTGAAATCAAACGCGTCATTAGAGACCTTAAGATTGACGTTTACGGCAAACGTCAAACCGCTAGCGAGGTTCTTGATTTTACAACTCTATTATAATAGCTTTTACACCAGTTTTAAAATATGTTAAACTTATTATATTGTACTCTTTAGCAATGATTTAAGAAAGCAAATTAACCACTAGTCATGCCATTCACCAAAGCAGTAAATTAAGATTTGGCGTTTGAAGTTGACGTTTGGCGTATACATTTCATTCTTGAACTGCTACGAGGGCTTGTAGTCGTTAAAGCATGAAATCTATACGCCAAACGTCAACTTCAAACGCCAAATCTTAATTTACTGCTTTGGTGAATGGCATGACTAGTGGTTAATTTGCTTTCTCAAATCATTGCTAAAGAGCACAAGTTTGATAAGTCTAACATATTTCAAAACTGGTGTAAAAGCTATTATAATAGAGTTGTAAAATCAAAAACTTCGCTAGCGGTTTGCCGTTTGCCGTAAACGTCAATCTTAAGATCTCTAATACAAAATCGCACGACCGCGAAACGCTGAGTGCGATTTTGTAATCACAAGTTTGATTTCAGTCCAAAATTGCACGACACGAAGTTCAATTTCCTCTTTATTATATTCATTTTGAAATCTTAGATATTTTGTAAGGTACCTCCCTGAGTGCTGTGGTATAGCAACAATAAGCGAATAAGATGAACTCAGTTTTGTTAAATTGCAGTTTATTGATAATACGTTCAAAATACTGCAAAACTGTTAAAGAAATGAGGACATTTATAAAGAACAAGAAACAACACAAGTAAGTTTAAATATATTGTAGGTTTTATACGAGTGATTTGAAAGAGTTTTGGTGCAGTTTTGTGCGTTTAAAATTGGAAATACGATAGGCGAATTTACCTTTGTCTCCCATGACGCTTTAAATTTGCTTTTGTTGGCATTTTTGCCCGTTACTATTTGTAAAATTTCAAAAAAATTAACATTTTTTTCAATTTTTTGATAGTTTACTGAAGCTATCCATATTTTTTTGTTTTTATGTCTAAAAATTGCTTATAGGCACTCAAGAGAATTAATCATGAGATATGTAATTTTTTTGTTTTTGCTCATTTGCCATATCACATTTTTCTTAAAATTGATTGGCTGTTTGAATCCTATGATGAAATATGATTGGTTGGCTGAAATCAGCACTCTAGTGTGATTGGTTGAAAAAAGGTGCGATTTCAGCACGAATCGCACTGCTATAGGAGTGCGATTCGTGCAGAAATCACGCTCCTGTGAACCAATCAGATTGCAGGAAACAGCATTGGTTTCAAAATGAATATACTAAGGTTGTTTATGAGAGACTTCAGGAAAATCCTTCAGGATTATATTTCCAGTAAAAACTTAGAAAACCTCGTTGTGCCGAGATCGCGTTTGGGTAGATTCTTTTTATTGCCTAAAATTCACAAGCGGCTTGAAAATGTGCCAGGTAGACCCGGCTATATCTAACTGTGGTACTTCTGCAGAACGATTGTCGGAGTTTCTGGATTTTCGTGTTCAACCATTGGTGGAAGTTGTGCCGTCTGTCATAAAAGATAGTACACATTTTTTGCAACGTTTGGAAGACTTAGGTCATATCCCATCGACTGCAATTTTGTTCACTGTAGATGTAGTTGGATAATATCGTCACATACCACACAGCGAAGGTCTTGAGGCTCTCAGATTAGCAATAAATAAGGCAGAAGAGAACATGCCCGTCGATGATTTGGTCTCACTTGCCAAATTGGTTTTGGAAAATAATTTTTTTGAATTTGAAGAGAATATGCTTCGACAAAAATTGAGAACGGCTATTGGGACTAAATTTGCCCCCGGGTTTGCTAACTTATTTATGGGGTATTTCGAGGAACGTTTTTTGGATTCTTGCGAACTTAAACCTTGGGTTTGGTGGCGTTTTTTTGAATGATGTTTTCATATATGAATTACTAGATCGAGGTCGCAGGTTCAAGACCCAGCCGCGGCAGGCAATATCTTTCTGCTTGCGCGCGGTTTGGAAATTATGAAATACCCACTCGAGAACATTTTCATGCAAAGAAATCACGTTTAAACTAACAAAATGGGAGAAAATCCAGGTTTTGAAGATCTTGCGTAGGCCTACGCGTCAAATTTCTTAAAATTTTGATTTTAGTGTGCAAGACGCTATTTATTTAGATTCAAAAACATTTTGACTCTGTGTGATTAAAAATGTTTCCGAAAAAAAAATTTTTGTAAGGGCTTTTTTTTGAAGGGGTGGATAGTAACGACATTCCTACTCTAAAAACGCTAGCATTTTAAGTAATTTTAGTGATAAATGTACCAGAAAGCGTTAAAGTACATAGGCTTACTGAATGTTTTCGGAAATTTCACGCGCATCGGACTTTGGTGAACGTTTTCCAACTGTGCACATTTTTATACTCCCTGTATATATCAAAAACGGGATATTAATAGCTATTTTGCGAAATTGAGAGCAATCCCAAATCTGTTCAGTTTTTTTTTATACACCATGTATACGTTAACATCCAGGAAACTCTTGTTTCTTCTCTTTACATGACATGAAACGTATTACAATACAAGTAATTGTAATATTAATGTTGCCATTAAACCCTATTTGACTTTAGGCCATATTTTCGCAAAGCCAAATAATCCTGTTGAAAAAAATCAAAAGACTCATGCTGTATATTCTATACCATGCGGTGACTGCGACAAAGAGTATTAGGGTCAGTCTAAACGCCAGTTTGGTACACGGCTAAAAGAACATAAAAAGGCTGTTTGAACTTTAGACAAGGGAAAATCAGCTTTAGCCGAACATGTATGTTACACCAAACACGAGATTGCGTGGTAAAACTCTAATTAAAAAGTAATTACCACAAACAATCGCTATGGTCAAAGACTTTGCCTAGAAGCGTGGTATATAAATATGAGTCATCATGCTTTGAATAGGGATGACGGTGTCAATTTGCCAGAGGAATATATGCATCTTCTTGGCAGGTGATGTCATCCCTTGGGTATTTAAGAAGCCACGATCGCAGTTTTAGATCACCCCTGATGAAGACACTAGACTGGAGTGTTGAAACGTTGGGTCTTGATTACAATTCGACTGGGCTTTGTAATCATTTATTTAAACTAGAGTAGCGAGCGAAACATGATTGATATACCTGGTTGCAGTGAACGAATCAAACTTTAAGTGAAAAATTGTTGCCCCTCCCGACCTCGACTTCGTCAAGGGAAACATTGAGACTCTCGGAAAAACAAAACAAACTATCTCCTTCGGGAGCAGACATTAAGTGTATAATAATATCCGGTGAATTACAAGCGACTCATTCCAACATAATCGAAATATGATATAATCCATACCTAATTATACCAATTTTTATCACTGCACATTTTTGCGCAAAGTTTAGTCGACCAGAAGCACGCCCTTTTATTTTTCCCTTACTCCCAGCGGATAAAATATTGGAATCTATTTATTTCGTTGCCCAATCAGTTTTTACGCAGATGAAGTAAGTGCCGGATACATTTTGGCTAAACACTATCGTTTCTTCGCCGTATTCAATTGCGAATTTAAACTCTTTGATTATTTGAGAGAGTTATACATGTCCATTCTTGACGGCTATGCAGGGCCGTCCCCAGGGAATTTTTCAGGGAGGGTGTAAGGTCATTTTAACCAACTGACGAACGATTATAATGCTAACAGATTATAATGATTATCCAGCTGAGTAAATTTCGAGTAACAAAAATTTCCGTTTCTTATGTAACATGTGAAAATCATATCGGTAGTAATTTTATTCGTCAAAAATATTTTTGTCTGCCGACTGAAATAGCAGTCCCGCCGAATTAAACTTGGAATAGAATTTCTGGGGGGTGTAAGCCCCCCCCCCCCCACACACACACACCGTAGCTCCGGCCCTGCGGCTATGCCTATTTTACTCGAAACAAATACGTTAAAAGCCAAAAATCGACAATAGTTTGTAACGATATCTACCGGACTTTATACCCGGGGCTTTTGTCCACCGGATAATTGACCCCTTAGTCATGTGACTGGAGACTGGTTATATACCAAGCATGCTTTAAAAACTATTCAATATAGACTGTATAAAAAGTTATAAAGAGCAATAACAACGTCCCTATATACTCTAAAGAATATCTTTACATTGTGTCAGGAGTGGGATGTCGTAAGACGTTGGAATCAAAGTGCTAGAAACGTTTGTTGATACAATTATATTGGAAATTCGTCGCGTACAATTTGAACAAAATGGCGACGTCTCTCGGTCTCCCGCCGCCTGAACCGCTTAAAATACTGGAAGGAAGTACTTCGATAAAATGGAAAAAATTTAAACAGAAATGGACAAATTACGAGATTGCTACAGGAGTTGCAGAGAAAGAAAATCCGACGAGAGTTGCTACGTTCCTGACAGTGATTGGGAAGAAGCGGTCGATGTTTATAACACATTTACTTGGGCCACAGCGGGCGATAACCTGAAAATAGACAAGGTTTCGGAGAAATATGATATCTACCGGACTTTATACCCGGGGATTTTGTCCACCGGATAAGGGACCCCTTAGTCATGTGACTGGAGACTGGTTATATAACAAGCATGCTTTAAAAACTATTCAATATAGACTGTATAAAAAATTATAAAGAGCAATAACAACGTCCCTATATACTGCCTCAACCAACAGATGTACCCTCAGTCAAGAGATTCCTTGGTATGGTGAATTATCTTTCTAAATTCTTACCCAACATTTCAACTATCAGCGAACCACTTCGTCAAAAAGAAGCAAAAGATGTTGAATGGCACTGGGATGAATATCAGCAAAAGGCATTCGAAGAGATAAAGAAACTCATCACATGTCACCCTGTCCTACGTTACTACGATGTCGCCAAGGAAGTAACTTTCCAATGTGACGCATCAAAATCAGGAGTTGGAGCAGTGCTGTTACAAGAAGGACAGCCAGTAGCATTTACATCTCGAGCACTTACATCTACAGAGAGAAACTACGCTCAGATCGAGAAGGAGCTGTTGGCGATTGTACATGCGTGTGATCGTTTTGACCAGTACGTATTCCGACGCGATATTACCATCGAAACAGATCACAAACCACTGGAGGTGATTCTGCAAAAGCCACTTTTAGCAGCTCCCAAACGATTGCAGCGAATGATGATGCAACTGCATAAGTACAACTTGAAAGTCTTGTACAAGCGAGGGTCCGAGTTGTATATTGCCGATACCTTGAGCAGGGCATATTTAAGTTCACCTAGTCAAGTCGGTGAAGAAGAGAAGAGTTTATTAGAGCGGTAGAGAATGTGAAGATGATTAAGTATCTTTCAATTAGCCCGGAACGCTTACGAGAGCTTCAGGAAAAAACACGAGATGATGTAACCCTCCAAGACCTAAAAAGAAACATTGAAAGTGGATGGCCCAACCAGAGGAACAGAGTGCTACCGAGAACAAGAGCTTACTATAACTTCCGTGACGAATTATCAGTGCAAGATGGCCTAGTCTTCAAAGGTGAGAGAGTTGTCGTACCAGCATCGATGAGAAGTCAAATGCTAGATAAGATACATTCGAGTCACATTGGTGCTGAAGGATGCCTTCGACGTGCTCGTGAAGTAGTTTTTTGGCTCGGAATGAACGCAGCAATCAAAGAACATGTGTCTGGCTGCGATACCTGTAATGCCTACCGAAAAGAACAACCCAAAGAAACTCTTATATCACAACCGGTACCGGATAGACCATGGATAAGAGTGGCTGTTGACCTTTTCACGCTAGAAAGAAAAGATTATATCATAATGGTTGATGATTATTCAAATTACTTCGAATTTAATGTCCTAAATGAAACGACGGCTGCAGCAATCATCACGAGTTTAAAGTCACAGTTCGCAAGACATGGTATACCTAAAGAAGTGAGAAGTGACAACGGACCCCAGTTTGCCTCGACAAGTTTTGAGAACTTTGCTAGAGAATGGGAGTTCAAGCATATTACCTCATCCCCGTATTATGCACAATCCAATGGAAAGGTTGAGAACTCAGTAAAAACGCCAAAAAAGATCTTGAAGAAAGCTCAAGCTGACAAACGAGATCCCTACCTAGCGTTACTAGCAAAACACGCCGACCGAAGGCCTTGATTCATCCCCTGTGCAAAGATTAATGGGAAGAAGGACAAGAACCCCTCTCCCAACCTCAGCAAATTTGTTGAAACCAAAACTTCCCTGCATGGTGAAGGAACAGGTAACGAACAAGCGAAGAAAGCAAGCACGATACTATAATCGGGGGAGTAAACCGCTCCCGGAACTTAAACCAGGAGATGTCGTGCGAATACGACCAGATCCAAATAGTTCCGACAAGACGTGGAGAAGTGGAGTTTGCAACGAGAAAGTCGCTCCTCGATCACATGAAGTTATGTCTGACGGTAAATTGTATAGGCGAAACAGAAGGCACTTAGCAGCAACAACAGAAAGAGTCGAAGAGAAAAGAACGCTGCCAGATGAAACAAGTGAACTTTACGGTGCTACATTTCAAAATGAACTACCAGCAGCACAAGATAACCCACTACAAGAGGTATCCACAGATTCGGGTATGCAAACAAATCAGCCGTTGTCCAACGAAGGTAAACCAAGTAACTCAGTGGAAAGAAGATCATCGAGAGGGCGTTTGCTAAAAGCTCCAGACTGTTATCGCTCATGACAATATTCTGTACTCTGTTGGTCATAGATTTACGATTCTTTTCGTTGACTATTTGAGACATTTGTTATAATTAGATATTCATATTTTTATGAAGGAAAGGATGTAACGATATTTACCGGATTTTATACGCGGGGCTTTTGTCCACCGGATAAGGGAACCCTTAGTCATGTGACTGGAGACTGGTTATATAACAAGCATGCTTTAAAAACTATTCAATATAGACTGTATAAAAAGTTATAAAGAGCAATAACAACGTCCCTATATACTCTAAAGAATATATTTACAAGTTTACGGCCATATATATACGAGTTTAGGCGATTTCGCGAGCCATTTCTTTCTTTCCTTCCTTCCTTATTTTAAAGGAGGTTCAGGCCTCGCGCGGCCAAATGCTGGTTGCGGGCTATACACATAGCCTAGTTTTCCTGTGCTTATATAAATCGAGTTTGTGGTAAAGAAAACGAAATATATTGTAGCGAGAAGGCTGGATAGCAGAACAGTTTCCTGTGTACTTCCCAATTTTTGTACTGTCTAATCACCCTGTACAATTACTATAATAGTAATACAGTTGATGTTCTTGGGCAAAGAACATGCTCTTTGTCCTCCTCATTGCTTATTTAACTGCCTCGCTACGCTCGGGCCAAAATGAGTCTGCCTCGGGCCAAAAAGATATGAAACCAAAATGAGTCTGACACGGCTCCGCGATATTAATATTATATTATAATTATATTAATTTCTCGTCAATCCAAAATTTGAAAAATTCAAAACCATTATGCTGACCAATCAGAGTGCAAGGGAAGTTAGCTGTCCCGGAACCCAAATGCTCAATTTTTGGCACCCAAATATCGCCTGCAACTCAAGCTAGGTCGGTTCTCTCATGACATTTCTGGATCTTTTGTCGCCATCGGGTTGTGAGCCATTTTAAGGGCTTCTGTAACTATAATAGTTATGCCTACCTGCGCCATGTGTGGAAACAATTCCCAAACGAGCTCGAAGTGGAGCTCCAGTTTCATTTCCCACGTTGAAACCAATTTCAAAACATCCTGGTGTAAACATTGGGAATGCAGAGCCTTGAAGAGAGTCAAACCATTGCTGTGATGTCATGTTCAGAATTCTCTTTTCGAAAAACAAGCTGCGTAATGAGGGAGCTGCCACGGGAATTCGAATACTAAATACCGTTGACGATAGACAAATTTCAGTGACATTTGCACTCCAAAATTGCGAATTCAAGAAAACCTGATCGATTCCTTTTGAAGTCCAAATTTCGCTTTCGTAACTCCAATTACCCTAAAAATAATTTAAAATGTTTTACTGCACATTTTAATAATCAACTCAGTATTGAAAAGGTTTTCCGGCGCGCAGGAAAACTAGCAGATAACAGATGAAGCCGGCATAACTTCGTACAATATTTGTGATAGGGTGTCTACTAAGACGTTAACTTTCCACTATTGTACAGCAAGGAATCGAACTGTCGTCACTATAGTCAAGCTTCATTTCGTTGCTTGAAATTGCTTCTGAGGGCAAAAATTATGCATGGCCATTCTCATTTGAAAACAGAGCTTCAGCCCCTATTATTTCGAGAAAACTATGCTTTCTCTAAACATCTATTTGTTTTGCCCTCGCTGGTTAATTATCTCACGATTTAAGATTCAAGGATGCAAAAGGATTTTCTGCTTGGCTGGGCCCGGATGTAATTTTGATGGGTGCGGATCATTGAACTATATACATAAACTGGAACGATAACTCCTATGATAAAGGCCTATGTTTGGGTGAAGCCGAATTTCGGGCGCTCAAGTACAGCTTGTTCGCAGCTATATGTATACGAAAATAAATACTGATTTTTTTACGATGTATTTCTACTTATTTAATCCTTAATTTTAACTTATTAAAACACGTTTCTGGATGTTTGGACTCCATTAACAATTGTATCTAAGATTATTCTACATAAATTGTATAAAATTGTCTCTGAACTCTTTCTGGAAATCTAAAAGCTCAGAAAACACATAAATTCTTGGGCGTTTTTTTGCCGAATTTCATTTTGTTCGTGTCATATTTCGGCGGTTAAACAATATGTGCATATTTCATGTGCCTTAGATAGAAGTTGTGTTGTAAAAGTGTGCTCTATAGAATAAATATAAATTCCTTGAAAAAAGTAAAAATGAGAAAATATTACGATTTTTAATTAAGCTGTAGTTTTCGCATCCATTTTGTATAAAAGGACTGGGGCTACCTGCAAAAAATCACTCTTCAAAGATGGCGGCGAACTTATCGTTCCAGTTTACTTATAGTTCAATGGTGCGGATACATTACAGAAAGAATTGCGTTCTCAATCTTTTAGTTTTGTATCTCCTCAAGTAAGTTCAATAATGAGACTTCTGTGGCGCAGTCGTCAGAGCAAATGACTTTCACGTCTGAGATAGTGGGCTCGTTTCTCGCTAGAGACTCATGTGAAAAAAGTCAGTGGGTTTTCTCCTAGTGCTCCGGTTTCTTCCCACAGGGAAAGTTGACAGGGTGGGTTAAGATAAACACAGTTAGGAACGTAATATTACAATTGTTGTAAAGACAAATAGTCTAGATATTGTTGTAAAGACAAATAGTCTATGATAAAGGCCTATGTTTGGGTGAAGCCGAATTTCGGGCGCTCAAGTACAGCTTGTTCGCAGCTATATGTATACGAAAATAAATACTGATTTTTTTTACGAAGTATTTCTACTTAGTACTTCTAGTAAGTACGTAACATGAGCGAAATACTTGATGTAATCTGTCACTGAAAAGCTCTTATGGGGAGTGAGCTGAATAAAAATAATGTATGTACGTTTGTATGTATAATATACAAATGTCATGGTATTGGTATGTCTTTATGACAAACTAAAATCGCTTGCCTGGAGGAAATTCAGAACGATTTGCTTAAAATTCAGTCCCGACACTGCAAAGTAAATTTCTGCCACTGCTCTGAAAAATTGTCAACACTCATAGCACGGTTGACACAGAAAAGACAGAGTATTTAGAGTGCCTTGGAGGTATAGTTGCCGTTTTGGCGCAAGTATAGCAAAATGTGTTGCACTTGCTTCGCTATCAGAATATCGCAAGGAACCTGTTGACGTACATCGTCATTTCACTGACACCGAAAAAAGAAGGCATCGAGGTCCAGACATACAGATTTTTTAGTTTTGAAAGTTAATAAAACAGCCAATGAGAGTAAATTTTGCATGATATGTAGACCGAGTAACTCCAAATTTTATAGCGCTTCTAAATATTTGGAAAATTTAAATTAGGATCAAAGTTATCGGTCAATGAAAATCGCAAAATCGCGTCGCATTGTCGAATCGCATCCGGTGTGTCTGGACCTTTAGAGTGGCATTTAGACCCAGTCGTTTATGACGTTTCCGTTTTAACGAATATGTTTTAACATATAGCAAAATGTGTTGTACCAGGATAGTATGATTTCGAAAGGTACCGATTGACGTCCATCCTACTCCGCTGCAGGCTGGTGAGACTTGCTCTTGAGTTCTGCAAATATCACTCGTAGGCTCGTAGCCAGCTGCGTTTCTTGCTTTGATGAAATACGCAGACGGAGAATCTTGATTGCTGTCAGAAATAAAAAAAACGTATGCTTACCAAACAAATGTTGAGCTATTATCATTTTTGTCAATGATTTTTGTCAGATTCTGATTGGTTTGAAAGTCAAGGTTATAAAAATCTGTTTTGCACTTTATAAAAATCTGTATTGAGACACTGTAATTAAAATGGCTGGAAAAATCACCAATTTGAAAATTCATATGGTCGAGTTGTACATAAAATCGTAGAGTTGTTATTAAAGTACTGTAATCCGTAAAGATAATAAACGCCAAAAGCAGCGCATTGTTTTTAATTGGTTAATGTTAATTGGGCACGTTTTCCGAGTACGCGGGAATTCTGCACACAAATGTGTAAAGGCTGCCACAATATCAAGCCAGAAGTTTGTGCTATGAACTGAAGCCGAAAGCGGATGTTGATAACACAAACTGAGGGCTTGATAATCCTGGCTTCATATCTGGCCAAAACCGAATTCAATAACTGTTTTGTTATTTAAAAGATGAAAAAGACAACCAGCACTGTTGGTTCAATTCGTCGAAATAATGACCAGTTCTTTTTCCCAAATGTTTCTTTACTCCTTTCTTATGTCCCTTAAGATGCTTCAAATCCTTTTAATTTTGTGACTGTTTTCGTTCATAACTTGTGCGTTATATTTTCGAAGTTGTTTCCTTTAAGGTGGCTCGCTACAGTTTATAGAAATGTTGAAAATGCGTAAACTAGATCACCTTTTTGAAGAGATGATGCTCTTTACAAATCGAAATTTGTATATCATATTTACAGCGAGAATCAAACAGTCGAAAATTGGTCAGAAAAGTGACGTCACCACTGTTGCTATGGCAACAATGACGATTCAAGATGGCCGATATTTTGGCTTTGAACGCATTTTACTTTAAAAAGGTCGGTTACCCACATTTTTTATTTCAGAAAACATTTTCTTATAGCCCTAGTGCAATGCACTATCTGACCAATTTAAAAAAATTCTGTAATGCAAAAAAAATTTATTTCGAAAAACCATGTTTATAAATTTTTTAAAAATTTGACATTACAGAATTTTTTAAAAATTGGTCAGATGGTGTATTCTACTATAAGAAAATGTTTTCTGAAATAGAAAATGGGGGTAACCGACCTTTTTTTAAAGTAAAATGCGTTCAAAGCCAAAATATCGGCCATCTTGAATCGTCATTGTTGCCATAGCAACAGCGATGACGTCACTTTCTTGACCAATTTTCGACTGTTCGATTGTCGCTGTACATACAATATACAAATTTCGATTTGTAAAGAGCATCATCTGTTCAAAAAGGTGATCTAGTTTACGCAGTTTCAACATTTCTATAAACTGTAGAAAGCGGCGCCAATTGTTTTGGTGAAAACACGTTTCCACATTTCGTTTTCGTATTTCCAATGCATGATGTCATAAAGTTGAATATGATTGTTTCATATTCAACGTTAGTATAATTTTGCATATCAAATGAGCTTTCGCGCGTTCTGACTGGCTAGTTGACTGGTAAATCGGACGCATTGTTTACCAGCGGACTAGTAAATAATGCTTTTCGAAAGAACGATTCGGCAAATTTGGTTTAAAAATCGATGAAATATTGAATGCATGCATTTTAAAACAAAACCACAAAACTAATTGAAAATTATAATTTAATTTGTTATTAATAGGATATCTGCGAATGGTTTTTGGTGGAAAAGAAGGAAACATTGGTGTTTTTTGTTTTCTTCGACTAAATGTGTACCACGCTACTAATATGCATTTCAAATCATAAATTTCTTGTTTGTTTAAGTATAAATGCCTATAAATGCCACATAGTAAACATTTTAGTAACCTCGCTTGCTCGGTATGGTACAGAGAAATATCGGACGTCGGTATTTTTGCAAACCTCGGTCCGATAGTTCCCTGGATAGACCTCGCGTTCGGTTAATAAGAAGTTAATAAAAAAACAATTATTCGCCTCAGGCTCATGCAGTGATTACGGGGAATATTCAACTGGACTTCGTCTCGGTGAATATGTATAGGATATAGGATAAACATCGAGAAGGAGTGACTTATGTTCTTCCCACATTATGACGCCATACTGTGTATCTATATGTATATAACAGAATAGACAACGGAAAAATCTTATCTAGTTGTTAACTGTTATACCTATACATGCATGTATAGATGCAACAGCATCCAGGGCCGTCGCGAGCGGGGGGGTGTGGGGGGGTGCTTCACCCCCCCAATAATTTTCGCAAGTCGGCCCCAGTCGGCAAATTGCTTCGTTACTGTTCGGCAAATTGCGAAATCGGCATTCAGCATATTGTAAAAGTTAAGAACGAAGGCGATAAATAAAGCGATAAGTTTGGGATTTAAAATAATGGTTTGTGTGGCCTTATGTCAAAACCATTTAAATGTATTTCTATTTTCTAGTAATACTATTAGTTTTTTTATTTGTCGAAAATCGACGGGAGGCTGAAATTCGAAATGTGAAACCCACGTTTCCGGTCATGTTCTTCGCTCGACTGTCATAGCGAAGGCTCTTTATCAATTATACGCGGTTCAAAACCCAAAAGAAAAAGAATAAAACTTCAGTATCTTGAATGTAATACATAGAAACTATAGAAACTTTATTATTTATTTCACGAGGGAAAACGTATTAACCATAAAAGTTATCTAACATACGGCCCGACGATTACCGTAAGAGGCACGCCAGCAAACTTGCCATAAGGGAAACCGTGTGCGAGTAGCACATAAAGACGTCCAGCTAATCCGTTTGAGACTGCAAAGCGCAGTCAAAGCCAAAGAGAATATTTTGAGTCGTCAGAGGCGCAAGATCCTCAAGAAGACTCCACAGGCACATGAGAAGAAGACCAAGAGAAAGACGAGCCATGCCGTAACAACGGACTTGTCTTCTTTCGTTCTTTAGCGAAATTACTGTTAACTCGAGGATCAGCCTACAGTTTTGAAAGACATACCGCATACAGCGATCGGTATCATCGGTTGCATATGATCATATCCGTTTTACTCGCTTTCTAACGCATAAAATTTAAACTCTTGGAAAATCGGGTCGTACAAAAGCCCAGTTAACACTATCCGGCACTAAGAGTTGAGACTGCTCAAAATACAAAAAATATTATAAATTGTCTATTCGGCGCCTGGGGATAAAAAAGGTCAAATTCATCAAATTGCCATGAAAATATTGAAACAAAATATCAATGCAATCACATGCAGATACTTGGATAACTTTTCTGACTTTGCGGAGATGCGCGTCTGCACCACAGTCTAAGACACTCGTTACTCAGATTATATGCACACGGTACCGTTTCCCAGCGTTTTTCGGTTTTTGGTTGTATTGCGTTAATTTCTGAAACTGAAACTGAAAGTACCATTTTCACGTACATTCTGTTCACACGAAAACGTATGAAAACGACGTCAGGAAGCACAAAAACGTTTCAAATATAGTGAAAACGGTGCCAAAGATTCGTTTTCTATGTCTGAAACGTTTGGTCGTTTTGGCACTTTGTTATCGTGTAAACAGAAAAGTGGAAGGCGAAAATGAAATTCCGTGTTTGAATTTGGAAACGAAGACTATAAAAAACTAGTGCTTTGTCAGAAAATGTTGCGAGAAAAGCGATCAATGTGAACAAGGCGCCTAAACGCTAAATTTGAAAACACCACTGCAAAAACGCTCAAAAACGTGACCCGTGTGGACATAGTTTTAGTCTCGATTTAGGACTTATGAAAACACAGTATAAATTATGTTAAATTTAAATTTTTTCCAGCTTTATATGTTTAATATAAGTAAATTAAAATAATACTCCTATCTGAAAACAAACGCACGAAAATAAAATAGCGGTGCTCATCATTGAGCTGTGATTGCAGTTATTGCAATTGTGTGTTTCGATTTCGTGACCTTTTATTTGTTTGTTCTTAGAATGTCATATTTTATACATAAAGGAACCCGATTCCTTTTTAGCAACAACCCACGAACAGGCATCCATTTCAAAACAAGAGCCATATTGGTGTCCCTAGAGCAGTTACTAGCACACCAATAATCAATATGATTCTCATTAACTATATCTAACCTTTACAAACTTTTGAAAAAGTCGGCAAATTCAACTAGCGTCACTCGGCAATTTGACCTTCGACACCCCCCCAATCCAAATCCCTTCGCAACGGCCCTGCCAGCATCGACGCCCGTACTACGTGCCCCGCGTAGGAACGGTGTTAATAACATTCAATAAAGCAGTGGAGTAACAACCCAGCGGGCAAAATAACGTTTATCCAACGTTGAATCAACGTTGGAAATAACCTTCCAGACGTTGGATAGACGTTGAAAAAGGGTTGACTATGCAAATTGGATCGACGTTACTGTTTCGACGTTGAAACAACGTTGAAATTAGGTTGCCAATCTCGTCAACCATAATTCAACGTTAAATCCACGTTAAAACAACGTTGAGATTGGTTCACAAATCGACGTCGTACATTTAACCATGAATGAACGTTAATTCAACGTCTGTTGGCTGCTGTGGGACCAATGTTTGTAAAACAACGAGAGATATTAGGTTGTCAACGTCGCAACCTTTTTTCTACCAAATTTCAACGTTGAAACAACGTTGTGTGCCCGGTGGGAAGGGAAGAGAGGGTCTTAGGCATATTTTTATATATGAGGAAATAATAGCTTGTGCAAAAAATTAGATTTTATTAATTTCAAATTAATTAAATAGGTTTAAAACACTGTATATTGGAAACTGTAGGGAGCCTCCTTGAAGCTTTTAAATCTCGAGCGCAATCCAGTTTTGGTGGGTTGGAAAAGACACACGTACCGCTCTGGTTTACAAAATTTGAGTTCGAGAATTTTTTTATTATCCTACATGATGTACCAAAGAAGCTATGCATATCAAAAACTGGATACTAATAGCTGTTTTTGCGAAATTGAGAGCAATTTCAAATGTGTTCAGTTTTTTTTTGAGAATGAGGTTGAGCATGAAGTTTGTGTATTGCCGAAATATATAAAGCTGATGCTTTATTATTTATACTTTTTAGGCATCTTGTTTAACATATTTTTTGCTAGTAATGCTTAGAATTCCTTGATTCTACAACTTTTTGTCGTTGAATATAACAAGTTAAGTGCAAGTATAGCAAATAAAGACTGAACTGCTTGCTAACAAACAACTGTTAAAGGACACAAGCGAGTTCAGAGTTGCTATCGAAGCATGTATGTAGTTTCTTCGTCAGTAATAGTATGGCTCCTCGCGCAATTTGGAAGAACATACGATCGTTAGTTTTCAAAGTTCGCCAAAATTCATTCGTCTGTCAGGATTTTCCGAATTTGGTAAAAACTAATTCGTGCATGTTTTCCCCAATTGGACTCTATACAATACTATTACCTACATTTATGTATACATATACCAGCATATGCATGCGGTTCGTGTAAAGTATGCGGTTCGTGTAAACAACGAAGTTAATAAAATTCAATAAAGAAAAGCTACAATATACTTACCATCTGTTTTCGTGATAGGCAACACAATCATCATAAATTGGAATTCCTGGAGAAAATAATACATAAAGTGTTACCGGAAATTTTTTGTCGGAAAAATTTATCAAACACTCGATAATTTCAAGTACGGGCGTATATACATCTTCTGACCATTTGTATTCTACTAAATCATTGACGTTGCACACAAACCGACATGCAAACTTAGGACCAACAAACGACGAGACAATTTACAAAATACATATAACAGAAAAGCATAACGCCATTTATATGTTCCCTTGAAAAAACTGTCCGGATAAATACACTGGACATGCACCTAAAGAAATTTAAACAAGTCTAACAGAAGAACACCATAACGCAATCAACGGGCACGACCATAGGTCACTCGTACATCTAGACAAACAGATGACAATGGCCATAAATTGGACTGGTTTGTCAAACGAGATGTTCATGCAGGAAAAGCTGCGACAAATCATGCACACTAAGTTATTAAAGAAGCGTGGCATAGTTTGGACAAACAAACATTTAACCATCACGATGACATCCCTGCAATTTACTTACAAGTAACACGCTCGCTTTGATTAATCATTTTTCAACAAATAAACAGGGGGCAAGGCCCCCAGCCCCATGTTGCCCTCCCAGATGACTATTTTTTAAAGTATATTGACAAAGAAAGAAGAAGAATTTACTTCAAGAAGATGTATTAGCAGTTACTCTCGGCCCAGTTTAGTGTACCTTCCAGTTTAAGGAAAACTGGATAAGAAAATTTGATATTACATTGACGAACGTCACTTTAATCTATTTTCCATTAATGGACATTAGTTCCTTTCAGGTCACACATTGACGCACATGTTAATGCACATCTTAACGTTTTGATACTACTTTTGGTAACTATCGCATGCAAACCTGCTTACAACTTCACTTACACTCTGTAAATCAAGCATACAGGTCGCCTACGCTGTTGTAGGTAAATTGTGTGCTTGATTTGAACAATACAAGTCAAGTTGTAAGCAGGTTGCATGCGGCAGTTTTAGGCAATTACCGCTAGATGTGTGAGGTGAGGAAATATCCGTCTTATGATAATAATTGTCACTCAAGTGGTAAAACTGATATCGCGTTGTCCCGATTGCGATCGAGAACTTGCTCATAATATACTTTTGCCTTTATCCCCGCGGAGCGCCGCGCCGTTCCGGGCGTTAGCCCAGGGCGAGGTTACTAATTCCGCTCGATTATTTACACCCGGAGAAAAGAAAGCTTTAGGGAAGTCCATCAATAATCAATGTTCATCAATAATCGCGGACGCGTGACTATGGTTCATTTGTTGACATCCTCAATGATCTCAAAAATATAGCTGTTTAATTTGCCAGGAGTGGATAAGCAAGATCTCAAATTTGAAGCAATTTGTTTGAAGCAATTTTTGTTTGAGGAAATGAAGAATTGATTTACTATGGGAAATATAGGGCAAGTTTTCTTTGAATTTTTAATGTTTTATAAATTTTGTTGCTTCAATTTCTTGGATAAATGAAACGTGCTGCTAGCTACCTTTTCAATGAAGCTGTAAGTTTGCTAAATTACTCTGTTTAATTTATGAAAAAAGGCAAAATGTAAAGGAGAGCAAATTAGTTAGAAGACCTAACTGAAATTACTCAATAATTTGAACTTATTTTGTTTTAAGTAATAAGTACGATCCTACTATAGTGGACCAGGAACTGCGTGACCCAGTTTCGATCTTGTGCAAATCGTTATAAACGTTCAAAACCTTCGAGATTTTGACTTAATCAACAAATAACTAGACACTTGTGAAACTAATGTTCTCGAAGTTGGCAACATAGACTGAGTTCGCTAAATGTTTTGCTTTAATTTAGTCATGCAAGACATACTATATCCAGGCAAAATGTGTCTAGTGCCGTGCATAGCCTAAATGATGTGTAAAATCTGTCAAAGCATAGATAACTAAAGGTGCATTTTTCAAAAGTATTCCCTCGCATTTGAATTCGATAGATAAGTTAAATGTCCCACAATATTTAGAATAAACATTCCGTGCCTAAGTCAGCCAACTTTTGCAGTACATCAAATTTTGCCGTGCCGTGCGTGCCATTAATTGAAAAAAAAGCAGCTACAGTCGTGTACGGTGCCGTGTACGGGTCATACGGGGCTTAAGTTAAGGTAACAAATTATCTGAATTGTTGCTAGGTTAATACACTTTCATCTCGCTTAATCATGGCTTCATAACTCCATGCTTGTGCTAAATACAAATTACATGTCTTTGTTTTTAAAGTTCACGATTTTCTATCGGACTATGAATATTATATGACAGCGGATAGCAATATTACTCGTCTACGCTTTGAGAAACTAAGTCAGCGTGTTAAATTTAAACAACTTAATTTAACGCTTATAATAAATCGTTATAATTAGTTCTTCACATTCTTGAGAAGCTTTAGATGCGGAATATTGCTTAGAATAATTGTGTCAAATTTCACTCCGATCAGACAAGTAGTGACGGAGCCTTAGGGTTTTTTCAAAGAGCGTTGCCCCCTAACAACAACAACAACAACAACGACAACGACAACGACTACGACAACAACATTAGCAGCGATTGGAGACCACAATCGTCCACAAAATATTTGAGACAAACCCCCTCCCCCGATTTCAAAGTTGTTATGCATGGGCACTACAATATAGTTTAAATCCAACATCATATGTTAAATTTCAAGTGCCAGTGACACAGTTGCGGTTCTAGTTCACCTTAATTGTTCGTTTTGGATAAGTACAGAAGGTTTCAACATTGAAATAAAGGGGGAGGCGATTGATTTAAAAAGTCTCAATATATTTTGTGGACGATTGTCTTAAAAATTGATAAGACTTATAGTTAAAAGCATCTCAAAGTTTTTTTGAAATCACGTTGTGTGCATGTGTATTAGTCACTGTAGATGATACTATTTTGGTTATTGTTCACATCTAGAATAGTACTGCAGTATCGTCAAGTTGCCCAGGGGTGAGGGGAGATATAAAAGGAATGGGGGAGTGATCCAAAAAGTAGCAGTAGATATTTGGTAGACGATTATATTAGAAATTAAGAAAACTTAGAAGACAGCAGCGGGATCGGAAGTTATTTGAAATCATGTTATGTGCAGCACAATAGAATTGGAGCGGGTGGAGAATTTAATTCCCAGGGGCGTGGGAGCAAGGTTTAAATATTTAAGGATTTTTTGTGAATTGATATAAGCATCTTACTATTCACAATAATTTGGATAGTATTGTGAGGCCCATACACAGATCTCTACGTTGTATAATTATGGTACCATATCAAGTCTTCTTTTGAACCGGGTGGGTTGGTTTGGGTTGGGGGGCGGGGGGCGGTGGAGTGCATTCTTGGATCGGTCCGTTATCTTAGAGAACTAACCTTGCACAATTCTTAGAGAAATTCCTATAACTTCACATGGATTATTAATACTTTAGTTACTCAAGTTAAAGGATAATTGAATGTTGGTGAAACTATAAGCATTTTTTAATTAATTTTTTATTACTTGGTGGGCTCAAAGTTTTAATTTATTCAGGTTACCATAATCTAATGTTTAATTAATATGGCTTTTGAAATATAAATTAACGAAGCAACGTGTTACCACGCATTACCATATGCGTTGCCATACTAATTGTTTTATAATATATGGTTTTTCTATTACCAACACAACACATTACCACGCGTTACCATGCGTTACCATACGCGTTACCATGTACTAATTGTTTATTTGGCCTTTCTATTACTAAAACAATGCATTTCCACGCGTTATCTCGGATAACCATACGCATTTACGCCTAGTAATTCTATTCAATATGGTATTTTGTTGATAAAGCAACGTGCAACCACGCGTTACCGTCAAGTTTTTATTAAAATGTATATAGTACTTTTTCTAAAAAAAAGGTAATTACGCGTGGTAGCGCGTGCGCAACTCGTAGTAACGCGTTGTTAGTCATTGCTTGCATATCGATCTTGTAGTTTTGAACCGTTAGAAATGAACTTTTATTGCGGAAGTTTTATTGTAGCAATAATAACTATTTTATATTTGTGGTAACACGTATGGTAACGCGTGGTAACGCGTTGTTAAAATTTGAATTTGGAGCGAAAACAGGTAGCCCATGCGTATACATTAATTGAACTAATCCGAATGGCTAATTTCCAGTTTGAGAACCAGGTTGTTTACATGTTGGCGTTGTCCTTGAGTTTACTTTATAAAATAGAATAATCTTGATTTGTGATGGATTGCGTGTTATTAATTATTCATTATCGATATATTTTTTTCGAATCGAAGGCAAGATTGCGAAGGAATGTTAGATACCAGTAAGGTATGGATTTTAACTTAACCTGGAGAAACTATCGCATAATATAATACATGTATATCGGCATGTATACTATGTAGTCCAAATATGTTATGCAAATTTTATTAGTATACATTAACATAAGCTAATAAGCGCTAGCAAAGAAAATATTATGGAATAAATGGCCAAAACCTGTGTTCGATTTTCCCCAATTTTCAGACGTACAATCGTCCACAAAATATTTGAGACAAACCCCCTCCTCCCATTTCAAAGTTGTTAGGCACTACAATATAGTTTAAATCCAACATCATATGTTAAATTTAAAGTGCCAGTGACACAGTTGCGGTTCTAGTGTCACCTTATATATTTGTTTTGGATAAGTACCGTGGGCTTCAACATTGAAATAAGGGGGGAAGGGATTAATTTAAAAAGTCTCAATATATTTTGTGGACGATGCAGTTCCTGGTCCAAAAACAGTGTATCGGCAAATGCAGTTTAGTTGAATGAACATTTCGAAACATTTTAATAATAATAATAACAATGATGATGATGATGATGATGATGATGATGATGATAATGATAATGATAATGATGATGATGATGATGATGATGATGATGATGATGATGATGATGATGATGATGATGATGATGATGATGATGATGATGATAGACTTTATTTAAAGAAGGTATTACAAACAGTAGTTTAGCATAGCTAATCTTACACTGGGCCTCCTATAACT